GCTCTAGATTGTAGTTTAAATCCTTCCTTGCTGCAAACTATGAATTGTTTTCCCACCATCCCACTTCTAAACCGTTTTTTCGTGCTAGTTCGAACATCAAATTTACCATTTGCTCTATAGTTTCTGTAATATTGCATTCCAATTTCCAGATTCTCAAAGAGCATGCCAACTTTAGGTTTTACATGTTCTTTGACAATTGGTATCCAGTACTTTGTTAAATTTGGTGATATATCCAATTGAAATTGGCATTCCTCATGTGTAATACCTGTTGCAAAATATCATAAAAAAACATAAGCCTTAATAATTGCAATTGCAAGGTTAGTTGTATCGTGTTGCAATGTTAGTTGTATGTTTGCTGCTAGGTTAGCTATATCTATTTGCAAGTTTATTTGTCTATAGTTGCTAGGTTAGTTGTTTGTAGTTGCTAGGTTAGTTGTCTCTTGTTGCTAGGTTAGTTGTCTCTTGTTTCTATGTTTGTTGTCTTTAGTTGCTAGGTTAGATGACTGTAGTTGCTAGGTCAATTGTCTGTAGTTGCTAGGTTAGTTATATTTATTTGCTAGGATAGTTCTCTGATACTGCTAGGTTAGTTGTTTGTAGTTGCTAGGTTAGTTGTATTTAGTTGCTAGGTTAGTTCTCTGATGCTGCTAGGTTAGTTCTCTCATGCTGCTAGGTTTTTTTTTTTCTAAGAGATTGAGGAGATAGAGGCAGAAGTATGAGAAACAACATTCTCAAGGGGTCATTCAAGCGTATCTAAATAGATCAAGACCCCAAAACTGGGGCCCAAAATATCAACATACTACAATGAACAAAGTCTCTCAAACAAAACAAAAACAACAAAAGAAAACCAAAAAAGGAAAGAATAATACAAAGTTTGTCCTCGGGTTAACAGGTGCCCGGAAGCAAAGGTCTAATCTAACGAAAGCAATAAGCCTAATCTACTGAAAGCGGAAAGATGGATATCCAAGCTGGTCCATCCGTACGAGCGTGCGAAGTCGGAGAGGAGCAGTGTCGGTCTGAAACGTATGGGAGTCTGGTATGGTGGCGCCAAGGCTGGCAAGGTAGTCTGCAGGTCTGTTCCCCTCACGGAAAATGTGCGTGATCCTGTGGTGGACAGACAGGAGTAGAGCTCTAATACGCATAAGCGGGTGCTGAATCTGCCACGAGCCCTGGTGGCCCGAAGTCAGGAGGGTGGCGACAGCCGCAGCGTCTAGCTCGATCCAAATGTGGCTAGAGAGGTGGACAGCAATCTGAAGGTCGATCTGTAATGCCTGAATCTCTGCATCGTAGCTCGAGGAGGCCTGAAGGGGCGCGTGGAAGGCGGTGATGAGGGCGCCGCTGTAGTCCCTGATCAAGCCTCCTCTTCCGGCAACTCCGGTGTGACGATCAAAGGAGCCATCAATGTTCAGCTTGACCCAGGGAGAGTCAGGTCGAAGCCAAACAACATCTCTGGCCCGAGGAGGCCGAACAGGCAGTGGGGGAGCCACAATGTAACGGTGTAGCGGCGTGCAACCTGTCCAGTCTCGAGCCGTGAGCCTGCTCAATGCTATGAGGAGTGAGATGTGTCTCTCTACCTGCAAAACAATGTGAGAAAGCAAAAAAGTAATATTCCTATGCTTCGCACTATTCCTCTCTGTCCAGGTGAACCAAAAGATCAGACAAGGAATGAGGAAGCCCACCTGTCTAAAGTGTGTGCTCTGTGGCTCAATGAGGAAGCCCACATGCTGCTAGATTAGTTGTTTGTAGTTGTTAGGTTTGTTTTATGTTGTTGCTAGGTTAGGTCTCTGATTGTGCTAGGTTAGTTGTCTGATACTGCTAGGTTAGTTGTCTAGTGCAGCTAGGTTAGTCCTCTAGTGCTGTTAGGTGTCAATTATATCATGAATCAAAATTCCAGACTAACATGAACAATTTATTCAATATTATCAACAACTACTGCATCAACAACGAATAATTTCAACAACTGCATCGACACAGAATAATTTCAACAACTGCATCAACATTATATAATATTCTTGCCAGAAAACAGAGATTTTACCAAAAATCAAAATTGCAGATAGGCACGAACAATTTTTTCAACATTACGTGATTGATTCTAATTAAATAACTCAATTCTCATTAATGGTGAATTCATCAGCACCTATTTATTTAAATTTTGATGAATCAATTTGGAAAAAAATAAAGTTAGTATACCTTCTTCCATTAATGTCGCAACTGGAGTTGCTTCGATCTCCATTGAAGTTGCTTCCGTCGACATTGTAGATATATCTGATGAAATCGACTTTTTTTTCCTGGATATTTTTTACGAGCAGTTGAGTTTGCTTATCGAATCAATAGAAAACGAGAGTTAAACCTAATTAGACGATGAAATCGAACTTCAAATTGATAAGGAAATCGAGATTGAGAAAGAAATCGCAGAGAATCGTGATTGAGGAGGAAATCTGAGATATTATTTCCGATTTTGTGTGCGAGCGAGCTGAAGGTTTGTGATTTTCAGCTCGTGATTTTATAATTATATATATACCTGATGCTGACCGTAGATTTAAAAGGCAGATTCAACGGCTGAGATTGGGTCTCACGTCCACATTTTAAGAGGTAGACCCATTGGATCCGTCCCCTATATGTGTATATATATGTGTGTGTGTGTGTGTATATATATATATATATATATATATATAATGTATAAAAATTTTATTTGCATTATGTGCACATGATAAAATATTAGTTTATTCTGAATAATGAACTTAGCAAAATTAAATCATAATCCAAATTTTCCCTAGGTAAAACAATGAATATGCCTAATCAATTTTTCCTAAGCCAAATTATTCCTAATTAACCTAAATTAAATTCACTAATTTACCTAATAATCAACACATTCAAAAAAGTTACCTAAGTTGAACTCGGCCACACCCCTCACTCCTAAGCAACTAAGACTCGGTTATTCACTAGCCTACCCACCCCTAGAAACAAGAAAGCAACCCTACCAGCAGTCTCAAGCTACTAGCCGCCAACTCTAACAACCTCAAGGAGCCCTAGACTTAGTCACCAACTAACTCCCCCCTTATCTCGGCCTTTCACTCCACACTCCTCCAACCACCAGCAGCCCTAGTGTTCACCTAATGTTCTCAGCTGCCGCCTCCTTCATTTTCCCACTCTCAAGTTCACGAAATTTCCTAAGTCATTTCTCAAAGATCCCCCTAACTCCAGCAGCGTAGTCACTAGAGCAAGCACCCAAGCATTTACCGAGAGCCACCAGCCGCCGTCCGAGAAGACCGAGTGCCACCGGGAGTCAGCGTTTAAAAGAGTATAACCATAAGTTTTGATAACCCAACAACCAAAAAAGACTAGTAAAGAGTATATTTAACATTTTTCAAATTCATCTTGAATATCTATCATCCCCTCTATATATAATTTCAGAATGTGCTGAGCCTACATGGCAAACTCTCATTCTTCGGAATCATATTTGACAAAAAATCATGTTTTGGAGTTAGACCTGGATATAAATTAATATTTATATTAATTGTATTTTAATGTTGTTTCCTATTATAACCATTGAATTGATAATATATTCTAAAAGTTGATAACTTTTATATTTTATATCGGTTTTACATATGTAATGTATCAAATTAATCATATTTTGATAAGCTTCGATTTGACATCCATATTGTATATAAAATAAATAAATTACATTTATCTTTATAATAATAAAAAAATTATTTATTAACATTAATTAGAAAATAAAATTATTATCAATTAATATATTTATGTTTAATGTAGTTATATGTTATAAATAAAATAGTAATATATATCCTTATAAATAAAATAGTAATATATATCCTTATAAATAAAATTTAAATTTATTTATCAAACTAAATTAAATTATATCAAATAAAACTATAAATTATATTATAAAGTAACAGAAATTAGTATGTATTCTTTTAAAAATGATATTTATTTCAAATCTAATTGGTATATTGTCTATGTAATAAAAATAAATAATTATTTATATAATTTTAAAATTACATATAAGTAAAAAACTGTGAAGCATGTACACTTATGCATATACATATCACCATATTATTTCTACACTTATGCATATACATATCACCATATTAAATAAACATATTCTACACTTATGCATATACATATCACCATATTATTTCTATTTATTTAAGATATATATTTTGTACTTATGTAATAGTAAATAATATTGATATTTTTATATGATATAAGTAAAAAAAATCAACACGGGTTGACATTTTCATTAAATGTACGGGTGTTTAATTATTACGATTACAAAAATATAATTTTAATTTAATTAAAACCCAAAGTAATGTTTTTTATAAAATTAAATTATTTGTTTTTTAAAAAAATAAAAAATTTAATATTTTTTTACAAAAGTTTTCTAATTCAACACTCGCGTAATACACGGGTATTGTACTAGTCTTCATTAAACTAAAGCCGTCAAAATGGGCTAAAGCCCGTAGGTTGACTCGCGCACGCCGCGAGTTGGCCCGCCAAAAAATGAATAAAATAAGGGAACTATGTAATTGCCTTACCAAAATATAAAAAGCGTCTAAAAATGTTAAAAAAAAATTAGTTACAAGTTTTAAATAAATTTATAAGTTCTACCATCGTATATCGAGTGTCCAACCAAAATATCTGCAATTAGAAAAAAATTGTTTTTGTGTTTTTTTCTCTGTTTTAGGCAAAGCTGGTGTTGTAATGTATAGTAACAGAGTAACTTGTTGTCTTGTAATATATTGGCTTGTGTTTGTGAGGTGAATGGTTGAGCGAAAACCTTTTTTTCTTTGTTCTATTTTGCACATGCATTCTATTTTGCACATGCATTTTGTGTATAGCATTTTCGATTACTGAAAGTATCAAGCAGTGATGTGGTAAAGGATCGCATGAAAGATTTACATACCAAACTCAGTTCACAATGATGCAAAATCATTTCAAACCCACCCGGGTTTAACATGTCGAGCAACAAAATGTGCTGGGAATTTTTTCAATTTATTTGTGTAGTGCTACAGTTTGACAACGTTCTGTGAATATGTCTGTCACTTGATTGAAATTGAACTTCTTGATACAGAAGAGTGCTGAACGCAAAAATACTCGCAATCTGAAGAATCGTACGTTGTGAACACTAAAAAAGTTAGGTGCAACGAGTTACAAACTTTAACAGATGCCTGACAAAAGTTTCATGTTGATGAATAAGAATCAGTTTTCTGGATTACTAACATATATCTGTAAAGCTCAGCCAAATAAAACGGGTTTACTCCTGAAGAACAAGATCTTCAAGCAAATTCGGAGCAGAATTTCTCATGTTATTTTCACTTTCTGTAACTCTAGTCTGGTGGGATTTTCTTCAAACGTTGCAAGATGAGGTCAAGAATCACATTTACTGATCACCATTTGGCTTGTGGCCTGTTCGTAAGTCAGAAATATCAAAGAGTTAGTTTTCGAGAACACTTAAGAAAGCACTACACTAGAATCTAGAAAAACCACACAACTAGGATCCTATCTTCATAGTGCTTCAGGTTTTACTATTTAAATCTGAACCTTGAGATATGGATTGTGCCCAAGCTTATAACGTAAACTAACTCAAACGTAAACTAACTTAATCTGCTGAAATACATCCAATATTGAACATGGGTTATAAAAGCTGAATTGAAAAAACGTATGGAGTTTATTTCGCCAAAACAGACAGGCATTAGTACTTGAAGCCGTTTTTTTATGCCATAAGAAGTTTCAACATTTTTCTCCTCCCAATTCAAACAAAATTGTTCAGTCTCACAATAAGCCAATATAAGCCGCTTGCACCCAAAGGATGGAACGAGCTATCAGTAAAATAAAGTTTAAGCAGGACAAATGAAGAAGGAAAAAAAGAACAAAGAATAAGAAAACAAAATAAATTTAAGTTTCATACCTATGGAGAGACCTGCCAAATTATTTGCAGTGCCACTTTAAAGAGTATTTCAATTTGCAGCTCCTACAGAGGAAAAAAAAAGGAGGTTAATTTCAGGAAACAGAAAGCACATAAAGAGCACCGCACTTTCTCCACAATAAAACCCATGATCTGACATAATTTTTTGATTAACTTCGGAGAACTAACATACTCCTATCATTCACAAGAATAACCGAAACACCCACGGTTAGTTTGCAAGATATACCATTTAAAAACGGACGGCCCAGATCGCACTAACGACACCCATCCGGAGCCAACATTACATGGTGGATGTTTCAAACCAATCAACATCCATAGCATAGACAAGATTGGAATCTGAATATTGAACACCTACACAACCCCCACAACCGGGGAAAATAAACAAGAAACCCAAATATAGCAATTATAAACAAGTTGCCCAAACAAAAAAGGCGAAACTCTGAATATTGTTATGACACCAATTAAGAGCCCCACAATAACAACAATCCATAAGCATCACAATAACAGTACATAAATGCACATATACCTGCCTATAAAGAACAACAACATACATAGCCACAGTCATCTCTTATAGGGCTTGAGGTGATACTCTTTGAATTCCGAACCAAAAGACACTGACTCCTCCTCGAGCTTCTTCTTCAACCTCCTCCACGTCCTCAGCATATCCGCCTGAATCAACCCTCGATAAAGAGTCTCGAAAGTGATCTTCTGTGGTAGGAACCCCTTCTCCACCATCTCCATGAAAAACTCACACGCCTGCTTCCATTTCCTCTTCCCGCAAAGCCCGTGCACCAAAAGTGTGTACGCATCCAAATCGGGCCCCAACCCACTCGCACTCATGTCCTCCCAAACCTCCCAAGCCAGGCCCATCTTATCCAATTTCAAGAACATCCCAAGCAATATATTGTACGTATGCATGTCGGGACTGACAACAGAACCATCTTCCTTCATCTTCCGGTAAAACCTCACTGCACCATTCACATCCTTCCTTCCCCTGTACTCCTTGAAGAAACAGTTGTACGTTGCTGATGTGGGGCTCACGCCATGGCCCACCATCTCGTCTAGCAAGGACTCGGCATCCTCGATTCTGCCACTAGAGCACAGACACTTGATGACAGAAGTATAGGTGGCAACGTTCGGGTGAATCCCCTCATCTCTCATCATCTGCAGCTTATCCAGGCAAAGCTGGGGCTTGTGGGCCCTGCTATACACGTGGAGAAGGATGGAGTAGCTGGTCACATCGGGCTCCAGCCCAGCTTCGTGCATTTCGTCAAACACCTTCTCTGCTTCCCTAATAACGCCCTCAAACCTCCCTTCTGGATGCAAGCTCGCACGCCTGCAAATCCCATTTAACAAGACATTGTAGGTGACGGAATTTGGCTCGATTCCCCTCTCAAGCATCTCGTTCAGAAACCTCCTTCCCATCTCGATTCTACCAACCTTGCACCACCCGTAGATCAAAACCGTGTAGAGTTTCGGGCCCAAATCCGCTCTGTACTTCTCCTTGTTGAAGACCTCCATGGCCACCTTCACGAACCCGTACTTACAGAGTGTGTCCAGGAGATAGCAGAGGAAAAGGCTAAACCGAGACTCGAACAGGCCTTCGCCGAGAAAAATCCCCATGTCGTAGAACGCGCGGACGGCGGTCCTCGTGAGGCCAGCGGAGATTAGGCGCCTGATGAGGACGAAGAAGGTCGTGAAATCGGGCCTGGAATCGGCGCTTTCGTGGCTATCCATCTGAAGAATCAGCTGCCACGCGGCGTCGAATTGGCGGACTCTGCACAGAATGTCTATGACGATGTTGTACGCGGCGGTGTCGATAATGGGAGGAGAGGCGGAGGAGGAGGTTTGGTGGTGGTGGGTTTGGGCGAATTTGAAGAAGGCGAGGGCAATTTTGGAATGGTGGCTGAGACGTAGGAGGGTCTGGTGGACTAGAGGCGGGGAGAGGGATACTCCGTGGAGCTGGAGGGAAGATTCCATGTGGTGGAAAGGGTTGTGATGGCGGATTAGGAGTTGGCAGAGGGTGTCCGCCTCCGGGGAGTGGTGGAGGGGTGGGAGGGAAGGCTTTCCGGCAAACGGCGCCGGAGACTGGTCATGTGGTTCGCCGTCGGAGAGCGAGTGAAGGAGTCTGAAATGAAGGTTCGATTGCGCTGACGCTTGACAGCGTCGCCGGAGGAGGTATAATAATGCCGCCATCCGCTTCCTTGGCTGGTGGTCGCCGTCGCTGGTCAAAAAGGATTTAAGAAGAATTGCCGTCGAAGCGAGAGTGAAGTGAATACACACTGTCGTGGTAATATTCGCATGGTGAATAACACTGTCGTGGTAATATTCGCATGGTGAATCTTTTTCACCGTACGGGTGAGAGATTTCTCAGGTGTAAATTTTTATTTATTTTTTTTTGTTTACCAATTGGAGAATTTTCATTATGGTTATATTTAGGCTGATTTAAATAAGTGCGTGTGACTAAACACGTTCATCCGGGGTCTCTAGCCTAGCCAGCCATCACCCGGCCCACCCAGCAGGACCGACCATCGGTCGGAGGAATGGGACCATACTCGGATCAAGCCTTACACCACTGCCTTCCACCACCAGAGGGTGGGACTAATCCTCCAGGAAGAGTGCAATGCCCCATTCACACTCCCCACGATAGTTGGGTTCGATCCCCCAACCTCTGGCATCAACAGCACTTATGCCTCCACCATCAGCCGTTGGACTACATGCCCCAGGGGCAAATTTCAATCGTGTGACTAAATAATTGCAAATATAAGTTTGCATATATACTGTACTAACTCTATTTAATTAGGTAAATACTAAATAATTAAATGATGAACTAAAAATGGTATGTTTTGACATTCCGTAACTGATGAGCACTTATTCGGTAATTGTGTACCTAGCCAATTATCTTATAGAAGGTGTTTCCTTACTTCTACTCCACCGTATTTTTCAAAACTAACAATTTTATTTTCTTCTATTCATAATAAGTGTGGTTTTAAGAAGTTATATAATAATTAAGAATTTTCTTTTTTGCCAATAATAACTCTCTTTAATGAAGAAGAGATAAATGTTTAGAAAAAAATGAAGGTAGAATATAAAAAACCGTAATTTATTTATGAGCTAAATGAAGGTAATAATGGAGAAATCTATATATATATATATATATATATATATATATATATAATAAAAATTAACATCTATCATTATTTAAAAAGAATAACCTTTTTATAAATTTAGAAAGTTTTTTCCGCCATAATCATTTAATATATCCTAATTATAGTAATAGTTGGACAATTGTGAATAAGCACAAAAAACAGCTCCTTAATTGCAGTGTTTCTTTAATTCTAGCTTGCACAATTAAATCGGAGTGCAACAACAAATTCAATTGGCTTTTTTTTCAAAAAACTTCCCACAAAAATATCAGAATTTTTGTTTTACATCTAAATCTATTTTTTTTTTTCAACACAAAATCCGCTAAAGGTTTAGATATTCACGTGCACGAATTAGTTACATATTGGATTCTTATTAGGAATGAATTATGAAATTAAATAAAACTTTCTGGACGGCATCAATTTTTATATAAATTTATATAGATATTCAAAAAAAATACGACATTAATTAAAAACATTGTTTTTTAAAATTGATTAACAACATTCATCGAAAAAAAACTGTGCAATATTTTCTTGGTGTGTACAAATTAAGTTGCTAAATAATTGAAAAGATTCCCACCTTGCTAAGAATTCGAATATCATGCAACTCTTCACAATATTTAGTCCGCATTTATCTGATGTAATACATCAATTAATTAGAAAGTAAGTTGCTAAATAATTGTAAAAAAAAAAATACTGACATTAATTAAAAATATTGTTTTTAAAAATTGATTCACAACATTCATCGAAAAAAACTGTACAATATTTTCTGGGTTTGTACAAAGTATGTTGCTAAATAATTGGAAAGAATCTCACATTGCTATGAATTCGAATATCATGCAACTTTTCACAATATTGTCCACATTTATCCGATGTAGTACATCAATTAATTGGAAAGTAAGTTGCTAAATAATTGTACAGAATCCCATCTTGCTTTGAATTCGAATATTACAATTCTGAATAATTGAAAAGAGTCCCATACTGCATGAAATTCTCATATAAACTAAAACTTGAACAATATTTTATCTGTCTCCATCCCATATTTCCTCTACATATAATGTGATTTCCGTATATCAAGATTTTTCTTAGAAATCTTATCAGATATTGATTTTACTCTACGGATTATAAATTATAAATCTCGATTCTACTCTACCAATTATAAATTATAAATATCAAAATATTGAGTCATTCTAGTATTTATAGTTTGTGTAGATTTAATAATATAATATTGTTTCTTTGTTCAATACTATCTTATTGTACAATTTTCCTACGTATTATAAAACTTTTATTTAATATTGCATCTTATAATATAATATTCCTCAAATAAATATATCTCGTGCCTCGTACGGGTCATGTACTACATATATCCAGTATATTTTTTTTTATTCATGTATATAATTATAAGCCTGGATAAATAGCCTTAAAATTGTGCACCCCGTGCATCGCACGGGCTTTACACTAATTTATAAAAAATGGCAATTCAATTTTTGGTCTGTCTACATTAATTGTTTACCATTAATGGCAACTTTGTTTTTCTTTTCCCAGACCGCATTAATTAAACCCCAATATTTAATTTATTTAAATTCAATTCATACATTTGAGTTGTTATTGTTACATTATCCGACCACAAAATCCGGATTTATCCCGTTGAATGGGGTTGGCACATATAATGCTACCAGGAAATTTGTTATATTTAAGTTTTAAATTTCAAAAAATCTTGCTTAAATATATTTGAATTTTTTTTGGAAAATAATTAAATCCTATAGATTGATAGAAACATTTCATAATCCATTTGATCTTAGTATCAAATTAACCATCGTCTTCCACAATGAGGCCGACCAAAAAACAGAACAGAAAAGAGAAAGGAAAAGGAAAAAAAGGAGAGAGGAAACGCACCATCATCATCATCATCCTCATCTTCACGGGCACCGGCTATAGACCGCCTCAACCCTTGCCTACCTCCTGGAGTCCGCTCTCCTCTCCGGCTCAGGTTTACGCCCGCCACCGTCGCCGAGTCCCCTCTTAAGAACCGGCGCCCATCAGCAGTACGGCCAGAGCCTGTCCTAAGAATTATTAGGCCCTGGGCCAAATATGAAAATAATGCCCCAAATATTTTTTTTAAGAAATAAAAATGATATATTTTAAATAATACTAACAAAGATCTAATATTCTTTTTATAATAAAATAAAATAACAATTTATAAAATGCTGTAACAAGGTAGCAGATTTTTGTTGACAGTTATTCAATATCTGATGTAACTCTGTATATGATGTAACTCCAAAACCTATGGTGAAAAACAATGGATTAAGTACTAAACACAAATGACAACCAAATTTCAGCAAATGACAAACTTAAATTATAGCAAAAAGCCTATTTGCATGTCAATACATTCATTTTAGGATAATATACTTCTTTCAAGAAGCAGTAATGTAGATAATCTGTACCGAATTTATATGAGTGTTTATTTTAATCCTTTCCAATGCTGCATAACAAACCAATCTTCAGACAACCAAGGATTAAAAACTCAAAACACAATACGCATAATAAAGTTCCCAAAAAAAAATTAAATTGAAAAAATCATCAACATGAAAGCACCAATCGAAATTCCAAACACATCTCAGTAGTCAGTACCTTTTTACAAGAATAACACTAAGTCAATAACAATGGAAGCAACTTAACAAACAAGTGTTGTCACTCCCAGAAATCGACAGGCACAGCGGCATAGGGCCAAAATTATGCTATAGTTTAGCTCAAGGGATTTTAATTGATCAAATGTTGGAAGTAACAATTTCGCTGATGAGTGATGAATGATTTTAAGTAGATGAAATAGAGAAAAAAAGAGGGATTGAAGTTGCATTTGAAAAACAAATATTGAAAATGCCATTTATAATTTATAAAATTAATTAATATGTAATGCCCCATTTTATTACTGAAAATTTGGGAATTATCTATCATTTATTTTATTATTATTTGTCTTTATTTGTTCCTGTTATTATTGTTGATTAAATGTTTAATATTATTAAATGTCTAAATGATTTATTTGCCAATTGCGATTAAATGATTAATTGTCTAAAAATTATTTATTTGTCTAATTGTCTAAGTGTTATTATTTAATTAAAACGTGTAAATGTATTTTTACTAATATTATTATTACTATTTTTAAAAAAATTAAATTGTGTGCTAGTAAATATATATATATATATATATATATATATATATATATATTGCTGGATTTATTTTTTTCAATTTTCCGTTATCGTCGCGTAATTTTATTTGTTATTCGTCGTCGATCGAATCGGAAAATTGTGTTATCGCGTGGAAATTCTTTCGGCCAAATTTGTCGAAAATATATTTCGGCCCGATTATATTGGATATTCGGTCTTTGGTTTCTAGCCTTTTATTAGATTTTATTTTGGCCCAATATCTTGCTAATTAACTTGGCCCACTTTTCCTTATCTTCTCGTTCTAAATCCGTTGAATTGTTCTTCACTGAATTTCCCCCAAAAATCTCACCATTCACGCATGTTTCTCAATCTCACCAGCATAAGACTCGGCCGAGAGGATTCTTTTTCTCTCACTTCTTCAGATTGTGAGAGTTCAAATTCTCAATCCTCTCCTCACCTTCAGTCGCAGCATCGCCTTGTTTAAAAAAAAAAAAATTCGCTTCCATTGATACCGGCGAACTGCAGATCGATCGCCGGCGTTCCCCCGTCACAGTCCCATCGGTCCAGCCGTCCCGTGAAACTCCATCTCGTCCGACTTTGAGCAGCGAACCAGTCAGCCCAGCAACTCTGTTCGAGAATCGCCGGCGAAGCTTCGCTCACCATTCTTTCCGGCGAGCACTCCGGCGAGGCCTTCTACTGCTGCCGATAACCGCCATCAGCCTCCGATGGACCTCGAGGAACGTTCGTAGGCATACCTCTGTCCGTCCGAGAAGTCACAGCAGCAGTTTGGTGAGTTTCCGAATCCCGAGTTTTGTTCGTTCGACCCGTTTGTCTCGTCCGATTTTCAACCGAACTCTTGAATTCCCGAAGACGGGTAATCTATGTCGAACCTTCTTGTTATATTTTTGTATTCATTCATATTGTTGTTGGATTTAATCGAGCTCGCTGAATCGATTCCGCTATTTGCGTAGGTATTAATATAGGATCGTATATGTTTCGATTACTCGTTTGGTCTCGTGAATTTCGTGGATATTTCGTTCGTTTTGCCGTTTGTTTATTTTCAAGCCGGTTATGCCTTTTTCCGTTTGCGATCCATATAAACCATTTTATGAAATTTCGAAACTCTGAAAGTTTATTTTAAAAAAATTGTTTCTGAGATTAATCGAACTGATCGCCGTGAGCTTCGTCGTTGATTTCATTTTGTTGCCGGTAGTTTCTGTGCGCGAGCAGTAGAGAGTTTTTCTTCTTCTCGCAGTAATATTGTACAATGAAGTTCGATTTTCCTTTTATCGCATCCAGGTGTGTAGTTCAGTTGTCCTCTATGCCCTATTTCATCCATGAGGTCTGGTGTTTGAATCGCGAGTCCAGCAGCCCCTTTTTCTTTCTTTTCGCCCAGCGGTTGGAGCAGCACAGCGCGGGCCGCCCCAGCCCGCGCACGGCCCGTCTCCTCTCAGCAACAGCGGCCCGCGAGCGGCCCGATCCAAGCCCGTTGAGCCCGCGCCCCTGTAGCCTGTTATCAGGCCTTGTTTTGGTGGCCCAATTTTCATTCCCAGCAGCCCAATTATGTGCGCGAGGCCCAAATACGTGGCAGATTTTTGCCAGTGTTTAACAGGCGGCCCAGAATGGCTTTTTAAGCCCTTTTTGTGTACCGGAAGCTGTTTTTAATACCGATTTTAAATTTAAAAATGTTTTCAAAATGAGAAAAATTTGAAAAAATTATTTTAATATACTTGGTGTTTTTTATTCCCCCTTTCTCAAACAATAGCACCCAAGGCCGAGAGTTTGTTGTGGCAATTAGCGGGTCTATAATTGTTCAATTGTCACTACAATTTGTTTATGCTGGTCATGATTTTATTCTTGCTGCTAATCCACAGTCATCTTAATTGTTTTGGAGAATGATTTTGATTGGGGGGATTAACTTTGATAAGGTGAAATTCACTTCATCTTTTAGCTCCTCTTGGTGATTTTGTTATTGTTTAAAAAATTATCCCAAAATATACTAATCATGTAAGCATAGATTAATTCAGGTGATAGGTTAAAATATTCTTGCTACTAATGTATGTTGTTCTGTAAAAAAATTCTAACAATAATTTATTAGTCTTTTCTTTTTTTCTCCTTTTCTATGGTGAGAGGTGTTTGAAGTGTTCTTTGAGATTGGAGTGTTGATGGCGTGAAGTTTTTAGTGGCCGACTGGGAAAAATTGCCTGGATTTGGTATTGGAGCCCAACTAGCCGGAATGTGTGGTCTACTTGCTATTGCAATAAACGAGAAGAGGGTTTCAGTTACCTGTTACTATAACATAGCCGATCATGACAATTTCTAATGTAGTATATTAGTGTCACATTTTGTTCGAAGTATTTGAATTGCATTTTTTTGAGTTGAATGACTTAAGAAATTCGAACTGCTCTTTGTTTTTTGGCATCTCTCTCTCAAGGGTCATCACGTTCGAGTTGATCCTGTTACTTTTTTCCACAGACCTCACTCGAGTTCAGAACACGAGCCTACGAGCTTGTGCACGACAAGGCAACATGGCAGACAAGTGTTATTACAGGAAAAGAGAACAATAGTTCAAAAGACATATGGTCCGGGAGCATAACTAGGTATTATTAACGTTTTACGTGTGAGTACATAGTCAGTCTTAGAAGGGCTATGTCATGTAGTGACTATTTTTCAGGGTATGGGGCAGACCTTGGAGTATTATGCAACTGACCACCGAGATTAACGGGACCTTGATTGTTCGTCATCGGAAAATGGATCATAGATGGTGGCGAGCTCAGGTGAAGTGCGGCTGTATTGATAAAGATTCGACTTTCTTATTNCTTATTATTAAAAAAAAAAAGAAATGGGCAAAAAGGAGTGAAAATAAATCTTTGTCCTCTGCTTCAGGCTATACGGGTCGGTACATGATGAGGTTTCAGACCGAGTACACATCCGACATTATGAACAAGGCCACAGTGCCTTTGGACGTGAAGCTGGGAAAATGGTTCTTCAGTCATCCTCCGGGGTTCAGCTCAACATTTTTTGCATTTAATTTGAATTTTGTCTTATTAAGATACCCATAGCTCCAGCTGTTGATCAACTTAATCTTTGATATATGAAACAATATGTTTGATTAATATTTGTAGTCTTATATCTATTATTTGCAGAATCTTAGAATAAATGAGCATGATATGAAAAAATTCATGTGGTCTAATCACAAGCCATGGGTCCCTCGGCCGCTGTTGAGCATTCACGTCAGAATTGGAACATGTTGATGGAAGCTTGCGTATCGAGCCTGGGTCGAGAGAGGAGTAGTAATTACCCACTTGTGAACTTCTTGATTGCGACGGAGGCCGATTTCTTCATAGGTTCATAGGGTTCGACGTGGTGCTTTCTAATAGACAGCATGAGAAGCACGGGTGGGATTGTTATGTCCGGTTACTTGAGCATGAACAAAGACAAACTTTGGTAGCACTATCACTATGCATAACCGAAATAGTCGAGCAAATGGATGTAGAACATGCATGTATCAGATGATCTCAGATGAAGATAATCCACATAACAGAGGTTTGTAAGTTACTATGTTAAGTTCTTATATTTATGTTGTAATTGTAAATAATGGCATAAAGAAGTGGGTTGGTAACCAGAGTTTATTTCTACATATTAACTGATACTTTTGAGCAGATTGTGAATAGTAATTTGGGTACTTTGCGAGTCATGACTTACTAAATCTAGGATAAGATTTACTACATATAGCAAAATAATTCCGCACTTCCTTAAAAAAGAAGGCATTAATTTCAAAAACTGATTCCAACTGTTTAAGATATAAAAAATTCCGTTACTAAATAATTATAATTTTGTAAACACAATTTTATCCCAATTTAAATTATATTCACTTTTTTTGCAAATTAGTTTCCTATTGCATCGGATATCAATACAAACTTGATATGTAATGACTTAAAATTCTTAGCAAATTTAACTCGGAATAGCAAAAAATTAATTAACTTGATACGTATTAGCTTTAATTTCTTTATAAATTTGAACTCAAAATAACAGAAAAATCTTGATTTAGCATTTTTGAAGTATGGACTCCCTTTAATTAACTTCATACATATTGAGTTAAATTTCTTTACATGTTTGAGATCAAAATAATAGAAATATCTCTAAATTTCCTAATCGTGCGCTTCTTCTAAAGGACATCTGAATATTCATCATACAATAACGTCCTCTAATATTTATCATACAAGAAACTGACAATGGAAAGGTAGATTATCCATTTTTTTCTTAGCATTTTCTTTTATTAATATTAGACCCAATTTTTATCAATTAAGTTATTTTTATGCTACTTACAATTTATTATACTATCTAAAATTTCTTATAGGGCTTGATCAGAGAAGATGAAGTTTCACCCATTGAAGGTTGTAAAAAAATAGCGAAAAAGTTGGTGACACTTCTAATGCAAAGCGCAACCTAATGGAGTTCTTAGAAGATGAGCCTAGATTTGCCGCTCAATCCGCCACTGACTCAAAGGGAAAGACAAGTGTAATATCCCATTTAGTAATTAATAAAAGTAATTATTTTAGTTCTAAGTTTGAACTAATTACTTTTATTAATAATGCTCGTTCCTAGTTTCGAGCTCAGTTATTAAATTATTCATTTAAAAGTTCAAGTTGAAAGTATTCTCGGTTAATTTTTATTTAATCGAGCTAGTTCATTAAATAATTAATTCTAGTCTGTTTATTTTTATAAATGGATTTATAAGATGGGATTAATTATAATAAGATGACAAATAATAAAAATCGAGTATATTTTGATTACTCATTCAAGATAAGTCGTGAACGGAACCAAGCATGTTCGGTTACGAGTTAAGATTATTACCGAACAAATGATTCTCGAGCCTAGCTTAATTTTGAGTATTGATCAAGTTATAAGGATTAATTACACATTAATGTTTATTGAAGTGAAATAAATTATTCAAGTTCAAGTAACATTCCATTTTATTTAGCTAAATGAATGTAAATTTGGCCATTTATGATTTGAATGAGAAAGAAAAAGAATAATGAGTCGAGACAAGTTAGGTCTCGAGTTCGGTTAAGTATCCATGAACATTTAAGTTATAAATGTTCAAAGAAGTGAGAAATTTATTTAGACATTTTAGTCTATTTAAATTATTAGAGAGAAATATGAAATTTTTAGAATTTTTGTTTTTTTTTCGGTTTTCGATTGTAGTCGGAATTTATGTCCGATTTCAGTTCCGAGAAATAAATTAAATTATTTTCTCTCTATTTTTTTAGTAGACTACAAGACAAGAAAAATGTTTTAGCATAAAAAGGAAAAATGCCAAAAGAAAAGAAGGAAATTCGAAAATAGTAAGAATTTTCGATTTTACGGTAACTGTTCATTTTAAGTCAGAATTTGGTTCCGTAAATTGGAGAATTTTTACTAAATCTCGAATTTAATCATTGAGATCAGATTAGGATCAGAAGAGGGGCCTTTCTAAGCATTGACTATGGGTTGGAGAAATTTACAAGTTAAGAATACTATTTATTATTTATATTTATTTTTACAAGTTTGTATTGTTTACTTTGTTAATTTCTTCACTCAATTATGATGTCTTGCAAATTGTGCCTATAAATAGAGGCCTAAAATTCAGAGTTTTTCACACCAAAATAAAGTTCCAAAGTTAAATAAAAGTGAAAGAGAGAATGAGTGGGAGAAACTTTGGAGAAGTAAAGAAGATGAAGTAAAGAATGAAGTTTTTACTTTGACAAGAAGATGAGGTAACTCACTTATCTTAAAGTAAATGTTTAAGTTTATGTTTTGATGTTAAGTTTACATGTTTATAAGTATGTATAAACATGATAAAGAAGTTAAGTTTATAATTGATTCTATGAATATAAAGAGTTAAATATATTCAAGATCAATTATATGATGTACATGCTTGAATTTGATAAGATAAATATATGAATAAACTGGAATTATATGATTTAAATGAATGATTCTTATGTAAAAGAGGAGTACATGAGAACAAGAATTAAGAGATTTAGTAAAGTATAACTTGAGTTATGAATATATGAAGATGAACATGAAAGATAAAGATTATGTTCATTATTAAAGTTAAAGTTTTCATAACTTGATGAATATGCATGATAAGATTATGAAATTTTGAGCATATGTTTAGTGATAAGATGAGATTATGACTGTTAAGTTTCAAAAGTTAAAGATGAGAAATGAATAAGTTATGAAGATAAGAAAGCATATACGTAAAGATAAGTATATA